TGGCTTTTCTCCTTAAAAGAACCTAATTCCAAACTAATAAGATGGAAACTTAAATTAGAGGAATACGACTACCAGATTATTTATAAGAAAGGCAAATTAAACACAAACGCAGATGCTCTCTCCAGAGTAGAAATTCATCCCATAGATACCGAAGGTAACGACAAATTGTCCATTATAATGAACTTAGACCACAACGAATTTATTGATCTTGAAGAATCAACAAACGAAATGTCGAAACTTAGAGACTTAGATTCGAATGATATTATATTAAAACCTGCTCTTGATCACAACGATATACAAGATATTATAAATATTAATCCATACCAAAACATAACACAAGAATTTATTAACGAAATAATCGACAAAGAACTACCAGTACCAGAAGAAGATATTGTAGAATCCATAGAAGAAAATACCAAAAAAGATAAGAAAATAAAAATTCTTCAAAATATAGCAATACCAAATACAGAAGAGAAATCTGACGATTTAGAAACGGTGCATACTAGTCAAGAAGATCCCATATTAAATATACCGTATACAGAAAAGGCCATAAATATATACAAAAATCAAATAATAATAACTTCTGCAAATATATCGAAACCAAAATATACATACGAAAAAATATTCGACAAAAATAGATATCATTGGCAAATACCAAAAAATGATTTTGAAGAAACACAGTTTCTATGTTTAATTAAAGAAATCATAAAACCCAATACGACCTATTGCCTACTATTTAAAAACAAAGACCTCGAAATACCTTTTATTCGTTTTATGACAAACTCATTTAAAAATAATGCATTTTCCTTAGTCATTTCAAATAAAATTCTAACGGATATAACGGAAGAAGCGGAAAAACAAGAAAAGTTAAAATTTTACCACGAAACGAAAACAAACCACAGAGGCATTAATGAAAATCTTGCAGCACTCAAAAAACATTTCTACTGGCCTGACATGGACAAAGATGTCACAAATTACGTCAATACTTGTGACCTATGTCAAAAATCAAAATACGAAAGACATCCCACCTCACTTATTCTCAAACCAACACCAATTGGCAATTCCCCTATGGAACACATATATATCGATACATTTAAGTTTAGTAACCAAAATTTCCTTACCATTATAGATAACTTTTCTAAATTCGGTCAAGCCTATCCCATAAATTCAATAAACGCTATGGAAATTGTTAACAAATTAACATTCCTTATAAGTCACTACGGAATACCCAACAAAATCACATGTGACAATGGCACAGAATTTAGGAATAAAATATTTCAAGATCTCTGTCTCTTACATCATATAGATGTCCATTACGTAACCGCCTACAACCCAAATAGCAACAGTCCGATAGAAAGATTTCATTCTTCAATCATAGAAAGTTTGAGAATACTTAAAGAAGAAAAAGAAAATATCATTATTTCTCAGTTAATGAGTTACGCAATATTAGCTTATAACAATAGTATTCATAGTGCTACAGGCTATACTCCCTTTCAAATAATGCGAGGCAAACTAGATTATAAAAACCCCTTCGAACGAGATGAGAATGAAAGAATAACACAATATATTCATGATCACTCAAAAAACCTAAAATTACTTAACAATATTATTCTTAATAAACTAAATAAAAACCAAACACAAAACTTAGAACGTGCAAATAAATCTAAACAATCAGAAATAAAATTAGACACGAATCGTCCCATATATCAGTTAAAAGGTTCAGAACAAAGATTAGCAAAATGTAATCAACCTTATCAAAAATTAATAAATCCCAAATTAGTTGGAGATAATAAAATATTATCCAACAATAAAGTATATCACTTGCGAAGTATAAAACCTCAACGTATTGTTACAGATAACTACAATCAACATGAAAATACTAGCGATGACGATACTCCTCTATCTACAAGGATATCAAACGTTAGAAATAAAAGAAATTAATAATCCCATCCTACCTGTTCAAATTGGACAAGCAAAAAGGATACTATCAAAACATACATTTCTTTATCATATTAATTTATACCAACCATTAGAAATAAGTAATCAAATATATAATGAAGTAATAAACTTAAGAAATTCTATTAAAGTAAACAATCACTTTTCAATATTAATTATAAACAAAATAGATCATGCCATAAAACTAAGTAAAGCTATAAATAATCAATTAGAAACATACCCACAAAACCCCAGAACCAAACGAGCATTAATTAACGCAATAGGAAAGGTATCCAAATGGCTTTTTGGCACCTTAGACACTGATGACGAAAATTATTACAACTACTTATCCACTCTCAATGACAATCAAAATAAGATAAATTCAAGTTTATTTCAGCATCACACCTTGTTAATAGAAATGTCGAAAACGTACTCAAAAGGATTTGAAACAATTAAAGAGAATCAAATAATAATAAGCAAACAAATGACAATAATTTCAGAAGAAATTAAAGAATTAATAAATGTAGAAAAAGCTTTCTCAATAAATATAATAATAGATAACCTAATAAATCAACTACACGACCTACAAATTTTGGTCAATAACATCGAAACCGCTATATCACTAGCAAAACTAAATATTCTTCATAGCTCAATTATTAATCCTTTGCAATTAGAATCAATAATACTAAAATTAAACAAAATATATACGGTACGAAATGTACCAAAACTTCAAAATTTTATGAATTATTACAGTCTCTTCTCAACTCAGGTGAATATTCATGGGAACTTGGTAATTTTCAAGATTCATACCCCAATAGTTAGTAATCCCTTAAAATATTTCCGAATATATCCTATTCCTTTAAACAACCTAACAATTATACCCGATCAACCATTCCTGCTTCTCAGTAACGAAGAAAATTGGACAACATCTGAACAATGTCCCGAAATCGAAAACTACTATTACTGTCCAAAGAAGTACCTACAAGAAAATACACAACCTTGTTTAAGCAAACTCATCCGAACTGGCAAGAATAAATGTATAAGCACGAGTATCCATTTGAAGAAGACTGAAATAACCACAATTAATTCAAACCAGCTAGTAATCGTACCCATCAATCCCATAAGAATAGAAGCAGATTGTGAAAAGAACGGTATATACGAAATAGACAAACCTTCCATCATAACCATCGACAAATGTAAAATAACCATCGACAACAAAATTTACGAACAAGAAGAAACAATGCACGAAGAGTATGTATTCGATTTACCCAAATTCGAGTTTCAAAGTAACTTAACCCAAGTTCCAACAATAAAACTAAAAACATTAGACGACGCAAAAATCAAGCATATCCAGACCGTAGCAGAGAATATTGAACTACCAGAATTAAAAGAAGCCCCGACGTATCACAATTGGACCAACACATCTCTCATCATCCTTATTACACTAATAATCTCTGTTTTAGCTTATTTCAAAGTATTCAAATCCAAACTCAACTCCATCACAAGAAGTCGACCAAGAGAGGCACATGGCTCAGAAAATCCAACTCCCTTGTTTTCCGAGCTTAAGGAGGGAGGAATTATATAGACATAAAAGAGATATCTACACATCATAGTCCAAGTCATTAGTGCGTTATATATAGTGCAGCCACGGCTGTGAACATTCATTCCTGATTTATTATTGTTATTGTATACTTGTTTTGATTCGTTATTTAACCATTGTATTTAGTTAATTTTAAATAAATTGTTTTTAAAAACGCGAGTCTGAAAACGAGTTACTTAATTGCAGTACTATCTTTAACCCCCAAACACGTATATCGATGACTATACATTAACAGTAAGAAATAGATATATCGCACCCTCAGTGCAAGATTGCAGCAACTCAAAATTTTATGAAAATGAAGTAATCATGGATCTCAAGTAATCTCAGTGCAAGACTGCAGTAACTCAAAATTTTGTGAAAATTAAGTAATCATGGAATTCGATCGTAAACATGCATATATATCCCCTGTAAAACTTTAGTAACTTTCAAATGCTTAACCGGCTAAATATTACAACAGTTTAACTATTTTGCGTTTTTGTACATAAGTTCCGTGCAAAACTGTTGTAATTCTAAGGTAACAGAGTTACAACAGTTTTGCACGGAACATTGCAATGGTTTCGACAACAAGCAATGAAACGCAAGAAAAAAGTGAGATATTTGTTATTTGAATATCTATATCTGTGATCTTTAATTTTATTGAAGAGCGGTCCAATTTATGTCCTTACTAAATCAGCAACTGTAGTGAAATGTAGCAAAAAAAGTGGATCATCCTACATAGTCCGGGAAATGGAAACAAAGAACTTCATTGATTTTAAACATGTTTCCTTTCTGTTGGGAAACAACTATAAAATTGATCAAAATAAAGAAAATGTGAAGTGGACAGATATAAAAATTCTATAATGTAGAAAAGCTAGTCCGCACACAATTTTCTTAGTACAATTATGATGACGAACCACGGAATTGTTTTAATCTAAAAAAATCATCACGGACTACACATAATATACGAGAAGTGCTACTTAAACCTGCCTACAAAGAACAGCCAAAAGTTCAAATGGCCAAAAAGAAAGATTTGATACACTTATGCCATTCGGGTATGATACCAGAAGCTCACCATAGTTTTTATAAAAATATTTTGACCCAAGATGATATACGAGAAGAGGACAACAACTAACAGAAACTATATCTACACTTTTTACAATTTTCTCCATGCAAAAGTGTTGTAACTTTAAAATTCTAATACTAAATGTGTAGTGATTAACAATTTTATCCGTGCAAAAGTGTTGTAACTTTGATATTCCTAATTTTTTGAAAATTAATATTATTTTATTTAAATTTCTATTTTTGGTTAATGTAATATAGGTTAAAAAGCATGTAAAATCATAATTACATGTTAATTTCTTTTTAAACTTCTGTCTTATTCTGACTTACAGCTGTCTTGCACTGAGGGTGCGATATATGAAAACAATTTCGATAAGCTAATCCGAAGAAAAAAATGTAATTAAATAATATAGAAATCTCATTAGCTTCACTTTAACAAAAATAAAATATCTTAAAACAATTTCATATAGGATTGCCTTTGCATCCCGTGACGTACCTCGAGATCTTGTTCAGGCCTATCTTGTCGGTAACCCCTTTGTTTGTCTTCGAACTCCCTCAGTCGCTGGTTGTAACGTTCGATTTGCTCCCGCAGAAGGGCGTCCTCTTGTGCAGCTCTTTCCTCGTTATATTCCAGGCAACCGACACCATCCAGACGTTCGGTGTCTATCCAACCGCGCCACCTGACGCAAACGCCGTTCATGATGAAGGTGGCTTTAAGGTGGACCTGAAACAATAAAAAACCATTTGAAATATTGTAAATTGAATTATTTAACAGAATAATGTTTAAAGTATTAAATAGTCTTGGTGCACAGCAATTGACTTATAATGATAGTAATAGTTATTTACAGTCTTTTCACAATTATTAAAAAACGTCTCTTAGAGAAAACTAAGTGTAACAAAGAAAACAAGTTTCGAATGTGATATAAACTAGGTTAAAATATCCTTATCACTGACAGTGTGTCTCACTCTATCATCATTATGGTATAACTTATTTGCTTTTTATTGATTATTGCGAACATGCCTGGTTGTAGTAGACCTATTATGCTCCATATGGCTACTCGCCTGCTATGTGGTCATTCGACAGATTTATTATGACCATTGGACGCTGATTTTGCATGCATTGCCCATTGGTCCACATCTGCCTGTCCAGTAGTGCATTCCACACTGTCTACCCTGGACACAGAACAACATTCGGATTATCAGACGTGTTATAATCAGTAAAAAAATGTCACAAGGCCCATACGAACAGATTGCGTTCTGCACCGCGGATTTATAACTGGTTCAATCGATATCTGTGTGTCAATCTGACGTTTAAAAAAATTAATTATTGTATACACTAAATAACATGTTTAAAAATAATAATTGTATTTATATGAAATTATTGTAAAACGAGAAATGTCATAAAAATTTAAACAGATGATTCAATATTGTTATTAATTTGGTGGCATTTCTGACTTTAAAATTTTGATAATCGTTGTGATTCGAAACTTTTATTGAGGGATATTCTTTTAATTTTTTACTCCTCATCGAATGTCTTTATTTTGTTAGTTATTTCTCATACATTTTTTAATTTAAACCTGCTTAGAATAAATCTATGATGACTATATAGAAACAAATTGAGGTTAGAGAGTGGTGAATTAGTGTGAAGAACCACTATTTTGTGCCGCTACCCGTGATGACGCCATCGTGTGGCGCTAATTCCGTGACGCTCATCTCAGCATTTTACTATAGGGAAAAAATAATTCAACGCCAGTATAGAAATTTCGGGGGAAACTTCAAAAAATACGGGGGAAAATAACAAAAAATCGTTTAAAAACGATTGTAACTTGTTGTCAATCTAAATAGGACCGTTGGCAAACAGAAAACGAAAATTTGATCTACTGCAAGGAGGTTGTATACATGTATACCACCGCCATGGCATATAGATATTATTACCCTGTTAATTAATAGATTAACCTGTTAAGTCTATAATAATTCTTCATTGGATTTTCAGCCGTTCATTAGCTTTACACAGCTTTTACTGATTACTTTTCGTTTTTTGCTGAACAAATTGTAATGACTATTAAAAACTTATACTCTAAAACACTAAAGTAACACATAATGGTTTAATCTAATTCACATTCAATCTCTAAAGATAAGCCACCTGCTTGGTGTATAATATAAAGCGATGCTATAATATAAAGTCCTCTTTTTAATCCTTGGTTTAAGACAAAAAACAATGTCTGATGCACGCTTCAGCAGATCTTGACCTGAATTAGTTTCCCTGAAAAAAGATATTACACTACTGCCCACCTCTTGTTACAATAAACCATTTTCACGGTAAAGATTCTTCATAATCACTCTTCCTGAATGAAACCGTACACAGCAAAAACCGGTTCGATTATTATAATCACAAAACGAGAAATAATAACGAAACACCCATCGGTTACTAAATGTCCAAGAAATCAATTACTTCTAGACCATAATTTTCAACATGAATGAATGGGCGACCAGAAAAAAATCAATTTCTGAACGGAGAGGTTATAAGAAAGTCCCGGGTTCCGCTTCGGAGATATCTCATTTATTTCTTGAGAAATCCATTTTCAAGTTAGTACCGAATCTATGACATGGGCGCACTCAATTCTAATTTAGAGTATTTTTTGGCTTTGAGTTGTATTTTTTTAAGAATTGGACAGACACATAATAGACTGACAGAAAGTAGAATAGCTAAATATAGCAATCGGGAGAAGAAGCAAAAATAGAAAGAGATCGAATAAAAATTATCCAATAGTATAAAGATCTATCTCTCAAAAAATTAAGATGAGATTGGTTAGTGAAATTGTATTCTCAATATTTTCATACCTTGGTCAAACGTTTCCATTCTTAACCCACTTGACATTAAGAAAAGGCTATCCACAACATGTCTGCAGCCAATTCTATAGTTCGTGGTTCTCAGAGGTGAAGATAATTTAGAGAGATTAATTGTTTCTGACAAAGTTTCGAGAAGAAGACTAAGAAGACAGTTACTACTTCTTTCTTCTTTATGTATAATATCTTTTCAGAACGTTGGTTACCATCACAGTTATCTTAATTGTATTCACTGCCACCCTAAATGGTTACCAACCACATAATCTAGCCAAATTCGAAATTAAGTGGGCCACTCACTAGGAGCAGCTGAAGATGGAGCAACTTTCTTAGAAGTGTTGGAGGAAATCATGATCCTCGGTTATAAGAAAACGACAAGGGAGGAGGAGAGAACAGTATAAAGAGACACCAATATAAAGAAATTAAAAAAAATGTGAGAAGTTTTATAGTTATCAATAAATTACTCTCATCAAGGCGTTGAAAAATATATACAGGCTCACAGTTATAAGTAAAAATTGGAAAATTTCCTCAATCAGTTTTTCACTAAACAAAAAGCTTAGACAGAAACGTCGTATCTCTTAATTTTTAAAATCTACTACGTTGGCTTGGCAGCAGTACTTAAAGGTTGGAATATAGAAGCCTAGGAAATCTGTGTCGAGGTAAACAATGCCTGCTTATATACTCTCCAATTAGTGGATGATCAGGTGATATGTGCAAATGACATGGAGGATATCGAGTATGTGATAAGCAAATCAATCGAAGAATACTTAAAATGAGGATTGGGCGTCACTAACGACAAAACAAAGTATTTATCTACTAATTCGGAAGAAAAACGTAGTTCATCTTGTCATGAAAAATAACTTGTCAAGAACTAAAGGCTTCCCAAGCTTGTCTGGGAATAATATTTTATCAAACTGGAACTGATGACCGGGAGTGTAGTGATCATTGTGATGCCGTGTATTTTCTGTCTTCAAAGATCTCCGTGTCTGGCCATTTATCTTAACTCGTGTATAGGTCTTTTGCATTTTCCGGTAATATAGTCGATCCATCTTGGAGATTTTTCGTGATATTCGGCCTTCTAACTTTCCTTGGATTAGTCTTTCAATGTTTTCTATATATCTGCTCTTATGTCCAAAGTATTTTAATTTTGGAGATGCACCTTGCTGAAGAGCCGTTTGCTGACCTTAAGCCCGATTCTCACTATCATGCAAGGCAAGTGCTCGGCATGGGCAAGGCATCGGCTCGGCAAGATACATTTTACATTAAGCTCATTTAAAATTACATTATTTATCCCGTAGTCGGTCCATGGAATTCGCAACATTCTTCTGCAACAGAACATTGTCGTGGCGTCTATCTTTCTTCTTTTCGTTTATCTTAGGGTCCAAGATTTACATCCGTATGTCAGTATTTTCACAGTTTCGCATCTACGTTTTATTTCTTCATGTAGTGACCCTGTGTGTGACTAATGATCCCAGATATAAGAATGGGGTTACAACCTTAAACTGGTAAATCGTGGTTATGTGTGGATAATTGTTATGTAGTCTATCCACTATCACGATCTTTATCTTTGAACAGCAGACCAAATATTACACTTTCGATTTCAACCAGTCATATGAGATCAATTAAGTTTTCTTGACTATTTGGAAAAGGGCTGTGTCATCTGCAAAACGTATGTTCCCATATGTATTAAATAATTGTGGAGACAATACACATGCTTATCTGATACCTTATTCTGGATGGATTCCAATATTCAATAAAATTAATATAAAAGGACTATAAATTGTCATGGAAAATTAGAAAAACAAGTCATACAATTACCTGATAAAACGCCATTGCATCCCGTTATGCGAATTACAGTTTTGTGATCTGAAGCTATCAAGAAAATCAATCTACACATTTCTTAAATTTGATTAATTCTCCAAAAGAATTTTTAAAAGCATTAGTAGAACTAAAACCCTTAAGAGTTATGTCGCGGAGTATAGCAAAAACCAATGTATACGAACAGATACTTGAACAACTCGAATCACTGTCCTATACAAAAAAGGGGAGTAATAAAAGCCTTAACGGATCATGCTAACCAAATACGCGAACCTGATTTCTTTAGCAACAACAAGTAACGTCGAAAAAGTGGTCTGGACAACTGACACGCTCCAAGGTACTTCAAACAATATGTCCAAAATTTGTCAACTCATCCAACTCGTCCAAAATTCTCACTGAGTTAAAGTCTTACCGTCCCAATGTTACAGATTGAATCGGAAAAACTCTCCACAACCTGAATAATATTTAAACCAACGAAGGATAATATAAGAAAGTCTAAAGCCGGCCACTCACGGTCCAGCGGTGTCGTTCGACAAAATCGGACAACGGCGTTGTTCAATTTGTTGGCATATCTGGTGCACCCACACACCGTACTGCGCCGCAGTATTTGTTCGGTTCTCGACCGTGTCAAATCAAACAATCATTTTAGCGTCTCTTGCTTTGTGTATAACTAATCGTAAAAAGAAACCTAAAATGAAAAGCAGATTTTGCTGCAAAGAATGCAAGATTTTGGTCCAAAATAAATCTCGTCTGTTTCTGATTTACTTGACTGCAATACTAATTTTAATTCTCTTTTATAGCATGTTCTAAAATTGTTATTTTTTTTGTTACATATTCTTCATTCGCATCTTTGTTTACTTCTTGGAACTTTAAAGTTAGAATGTCCATTGCCCGATTTAGGGCGTTTCTATCGTGACACGTTTTACCTTTAATTCGCCATAAACAGTCTTTATATAATTGAATTCTTTATATAATTCAAATAACTCTTAAAAAATTCTCACTAAATTAAGCTATGTCGATTTTCTATATGATCAAAGCAAGTGTGTAGGTAAAAATGTATTT